TCTTGGAGAGTTTTACAGGAAAGAAAGGAGGCATTAAACATTCCACGTACATGATGCTGCACCATCCTGTCAGCAATATTTATGTCAAAGTTTATTCTCACTCATTCCTATTCTTTGTAAAGTGGTATTATAACCATCTCTATTTATCCCTCGTCTTCCCCTTCTGATGACCAAACAGATTTCCTAGTAAAATAGTTATTCCAATAAAATGACCTATAAATAGAAATCCTCAACCACATGGAGCACCTATCTACACAGATTGATTGATTTTTATCCAAAAGTCAAAAAATCTAAAAATCAAAATGCTTACATGTGTAACAGACATTTGTAGCACTGGAAACTGCTGCTGTTCCATGGGTCAGTCTCTTGCTTGACAATCTTACACTTTCCCTGACACTGATTTTTTCAATAAATCTCATAAGGAGCTTCTTCTCAATTGCTGCCAGTACCCTCATGGTATTCACACCTTAAAGATAAACATATAATAAAATAAGGTGGGCAGATGTCAAACGTTGAGTAGCCCGAACCTAAAGGTTCCATAGGTCGTCACCACCTCCCAGTCTGCTAGAAATGGTTGGAGTCAGTCACAGAATCAGAGAAGCTTGGACTCCCAAACGCTAGATCAGTACTTGAGTGCCTTAACCAGCTAGGCCAATGAGCAAATATAAACATGGATTTATTAGTTATAATTGCCCATGTTTGCTGAAACCTGAGAAAGGAAAGAAAAGAAAAAGGAGAGAGAGAGAGGAGAGAGAAGAGAGAGAAGAGAGAGGAGAGGAGAGAGGAGAGAGAGGAGAGGAGAGAGGAGGAGAGAGAGGAAGGAGAGGAGAGGAGGAGGAAGAGGAGAAGAGAGAGGAGAGAGGAGAAGAGAGAGAGGAGAGAGAGAGAGAGAGAGAGAGAGAGAGAGAGGAGGATAGAGAAAGAGAGAAAGAAGAGAGAGAGAGAGATAGAGAGAGAGAGAGAGAGAGAGAGAGAGAGAGAGAGAGAGAGAGAAGAGAGAGAGAGAGAGAGAGAGAGAGGAGAGGAGAGAAGAGAGAGAGAGAGAGAGGGAAGGGAGGGAGGGAGGAGGAAGGGGAGGGAGGAGGAGGGAGAGGAAGGAGAGGAGGAGGGAGGGAGTGAGGGAGGAGAGAGAGAGAGAGAGAGAGGAGGAGAGAGAGAGAGAGAGGGAGAGAGAGAGAGAGAGAGAAGAGAGAGAGGGAGAGAGAGAGAAGAAGAGAGAGAGGAGGGAGAGGGAGGGAGGGAAGGGAGAAGAGAGAGAGAGAGAAGGAGAGGGAGGGAAGGAGGGAGAGGAGAGAGAGAAGAGAGAGAGAGAGAGAGAGAAGAGAGGAGAGAGAGAGAGAAGAGAGAGGAAGAGAGAGAGAGAGAGAGAGAGAGAGAGAGAGAGAGAGAGAGATGAGAGAAGGCAGAAAAGAGAGAGGGAGGGAGAGGGAGAAGAGGAGAGGGAGAGGGGAGAGAAGAAGGAGGAGGGAGGAGGAGAGGGAGGGAGGGAGGGAGAGAGAGAGAGAGTAGAGAGAGAGAGGAGAGAGAGAGAGAGAGAGCAGAGAGAGAGAGAGAGAGAGAGGAGGAGAGAGAGAGAGAAGAGAGAGGAGAGAGAGGGGAAGAGGAGAAGAGAGAGAGGAGGGAGAGGAGGGGAGATGTGAGAGAGGAGAGAGAGGGAGAGGGAGAGGGAGGAGGGGAGGGAGGGAAGGAGGGAAGGAGGGATGGAGGGAGGGCGGAGGGAAAAGAGAGAGAGAGTAGTAGGATAGGGAAGAGGGAGAGGTTGAGAAGAGAGGATAGAAAGGAGGATGGGAGAGAGAGAGGGAGGAGAGGAGGGGGGGGAGAGAGAGAGAGAGGGAGAGAGAGGAGAAGGGGGAAAGAGAGTAGAGAGGGGAGGAGAGAGAGAGGGGCGATGAGGAGAGGAGAGAGAGAAAAGAGTAGAGAGAGAGAGAGAGAGAGAGAGAGAGAGAGAGAGAGATGAGAGAGAGAGGCAGAAGTAGAGGAGAGAGAGATTAGATGAGACGAGAGAGAGAGAGAGGAGAGAGAAGAGAGAGGGAGAGGGAGGGTAAGGGGGGAGAGGGAGAGGGAGAGGGGAGAAGGGAGAGGGAGAAGGAAGGAGAGAGGGAAGGGGAGAAGGGGAGAGGGAGAGGGAAGGAGAGAGAGAGGAGGGATGGGAGGGAGGGAGAGAAGAGAGAGGGAAAGAGAAGGAGAATAGAAGGAGAAGAGGAGAGAGAGAATGGAAGATGAGGAGGAGAGAATGGACGAGAGGGGAGAGAGGAGGAGAAATGAGAGAGAGAGTAGAGAGAATGAGAGGGAGAGAGAGAAGAACTGGAGGAGAGAGAGAGAGAATGAGAGAAGAGAAGAGAGGAAACTGGAACGAGAGGAGAGAGAAGAGGACGGAGAGAGAGAGATAGAACCGAGAGAGAGAGAGAGACGAGAGAGAGAGAGGAACAGGAAGAGGAAGAGAAGAACGGGAAGAAGATGGAGAGAGAACGGAGAGGAGAGAGAACGAGAGAAGGAAGTGAGGATGAAGAGAAGAAGGAGAGAGAGAGAGAGGAGAGAGAGATAGAAGTTAGAGATAGGAGAGTAAGGAGAGAGAGAGAGAGAAGAGAGAGAGAAAGAGAGAGAGAGAGAAGAGAGGAAAGAGAGAGAAGAGAAAGAGAGAGAGAGAAAAGAGAGAGAGAGAGAAGAGTGAGAGAGATGAGAGAGAGAGAGAGGATGCAGAGGAGAGAGATGAGATAGGAGGAGGGGGAGTGGAAAGAGGAGAGAGAGAGAGAGAGAGACGGTAGATGAGATAAAGAATGGTGAGAGAGGAGAGAGTAAGAGAGAAGAGAGGAGAGAGAGAGAGAGAGGGAGTAGAAGGAAGAGAGAGGAGAGAGAAGAGGGAGGAGAGAGAGAGGACGAGAAGAGAGAGCGTAGGAAGAAGAGAGAGCGATTAGGAGGGAAGGAGGAGAGATGAGATGAGAGAGGAGAGAGAAGTGTGAGTAGAGATGAGAGAGAGAGAGATAAGAGACGAGAGAGAGAGAGTGAGAGAGAGAGAGAGAAGATGGTCAGAGGTTGAGGAGAGAGTGAGAGAGGAGAGGTAACGAGGAATAGTGTGAGAGAGAAAGGAAGAGTAGAGGAGAGGAGAGAGAGGTGAGTCAGGTCGGCGCCATAGCTGAGAAGGTAGCAGACAGGTGTGTATGTCTAAGATAGACTGTGTTTTGTGCACGCACAGCACAATAAGTACAGGAAGTGGGGAAGGTTGTGTGGATGGCGTAAGTAATGTGACAACACCATGGAACACTAGGAAGTGCCGTGACTTTAAATTCAGCTTGGCATTAAGATTAGTGATGAAAAGTTGGAAGAAGATTACTGGGTTAAAGAAATTTTGAATTGCAAAAGGTTAGATAAAAAAACAAAATTCTTTAAACTATATATCTGAAGAATAGACCATTGGATGTTCATTGTAAATTCTATTAAATCAGGTAGCTCTTTCCAACATGAAAGTAACAGCCTGAAGAGATCTAATGCTCTTACGGAGCGGGTGTCACATCAAGGTTACTCGAGAGAACAAAATTGAAAAGGAACAAGCTGAATACTGCGTTTCTGGGCTGCTGGGAGGTCGTCTGGGCCTGGTAGGTAGGCAGGGTAGTTGGTACCGTGAGTGGGTTGGATTGTAGAATGAGAGGAAGAATGGAGGTACGGGAAGGCCAACAAAGGGCGAGGTAGGGGTAGTGAGTAGCTGGCGCGATGGTTGGGACATATTTTACGTTTTTGGTTGAGTACTGCGCGGATGGGTTAACAGTTAGTGAGGTGGGAGAGGGTGGGAGGTGGTGGTGCGGTGAGGTGTGGAGCAGACATTAGTTGGTGTGAGAGGTTGTGGGACGGAGATGTAAGAGAGGGAGACGAAGGGCAATAATGGACGGATTGGCATCAGGAGGTGGGACTGTTGTTGCCGTTCGGAGGTGTGGGCGGAAGCGATGTCTTGCGGCCTTTGTGCTTTGGTAAAAGGCTTAATCATCCCCGGAGAGGAGATTAAATGGCTTGTTGGAATACTTTGAAGAATGGAACTTGTGAGACCTCCTTGGGTGCACTATGTATCAAATTATGGAACCCAGTCCTAACTTAAGAATGGCCCATTGAGACTGTTTTTGGTTGGTGAATCCAGGATCAATGGATGCCGGCTGCCGGATTGCACAGGATTTTTTAAAAATAATTGCACGTTGAAGTTTGCACGGGACTAGGGCACACTGGGAGACGAAACGAGGGAGGGCGGGAAGGCGAGACCGAAAAGGGCGTGGGGGGGGTGGTTGGGGTGGTTGAGGGTGGGTGAAATGGGAGTGGGGAAGACACGCAGGAGCGCGGGAGCGAAGAGAGAGCAGGGTGAGGTTTTGCAGGAAAAATGAAGAGAGAGAGAATGGAGAGAGGGAGAGTTATATATTCAGATTTGGTTACCCGTTGGGTTAGTGGTAGAATTGGTTGTAGGGTCTTAGTTCTATGGACTTAGAATGACTCATCTGAATTGTTGGTTGGTGATATGGACCTATGATCCCAATGCCAGGAGATTATTTAAAATGAATTGCATAGATTACCAGTGGCTATTTTCCTTTACATATGGTAACCGGATTGTAGCTTGGCGAGAAAGGAGGCAGGAGGGTTGGTTAGGGGAATGGGCAGAAGTGGGCTTGCAGAAGTGTGGGAGTGATTTATAAAGGCGGTACTGGGTGATGCCTATTGCTTGGCGGGAGGTAATGCACTCTCTTAGTAACTAACTAGTTAATTTGATTTTTAGGAAAATCTATCAACGAGAGCAAGTGGTCCCACCCGGTGGTGGTAGGGGAGATAGGGGCCATAGACGGCCGCAGAACACGAAAAGAAAAATGAACAAGATAGTATACGAGTGAAGTTTGTTCGAAAAACGTGTTTTTGCCAAATCGGATCATTAATGATTTTGGGTATCGATTGGATTGCCAGCTGCGGTCATTCTCTATTTTGATTGTGGCGTGACCACCCCAGAGCCCCACCAATTCTTGTCTCTGATAACAGGAGTGGGGCATGGAAAGGTACGGCAAAGGATTTACGACGCAATAAAAACCAACATAAAATGGCAGTTGTGTGATGGTCGAGAGGGAATCCAGCCGACACCAATATGCGGATTCGTGATTCATTAGGAAGAACTACTAGAAAAAAATCACCAAGTATATGAGAATAAAAAAAGGAAAAGTTTGTCATTCAGAAAGTATGGACATTCCGTATTGTAGTGTATCAACATTATCAGTGTGTGTGAGTATCGTTCTAGTGTCTACGTTGTAGGGATTATAGGCATTATATCCCCTGTTTGCATATTCTAACATTATAAACTTAGCATCGCTTTCATACTGGTGCATTGATGCCTGTTGCAAAGCTACGTATAAATGTTGAGATGGGAAGACAATGTGACAAGATCACCTGACTCTTGCCCACACACGGTTGTCTGGAGTGTTGATTGTCGGTTTGTAGATAACAGAAGGGAGGTAGGCGAGAAGTGACGTCACAATACTTCATGGGCTATAGTCGAATTAATATAAAGAAAATAACATAAGAATGGAAATGAAGAAGAGTGGACAGATGTTGTTATTGTAGGCACTGAGGTCGGGTATGTGGGTGGTTAAAGGAGACTGTAAGATGTCGTGAAATGAAATGAAGACTGAAGTCAAATGCCAAATGCAAAGTGATCGGAATGTTGTGGTTTTGGTTATCTCATGCAGCGGTTGATTGCCAAAAACAGACAGACAACAGGGGGCGGTCATCGCCATGTGGGGGGGAGCTTAATGGAAGAATTTTAAGGCCGTATAGTTCCCCTTTGTGGCTGTACTCGTCCGGGCACGTGAGTAATGACGTCCAAGGAAGAGAATCACGCAGAAGAGCATTACTGGCCGCTTGTGATAGAATAGGGCGTGTTCATTTGTTTAATTCAACAGCAAAAGGTAAAAGGAGTGTGATAGGAGTGTAAGTGATTGCCTGATTATTAGTACTAGGCTAAAATTATGAGAATTGGACTTATATGAAGAGTTTGTGTTTAGTTCTGTTGGAACGCACGAATAAAATAGCGGAGCGCACGGCGATACGACAGGGAGGCGCACGCGAGCGGGCACTGCAAGGAACGCTACGCACGGCCAGCCCACGACGCACAGCACCGCACGCACGCACGCTACGGTCACGTAGTGTCATGTTGAGGTTCTACATGTGAGAGGAGTGGGGTTCGGTATACATTTGGGGTAGTAGGAGGGGGGGGTGTGTACGGGTTACTTGGGATACACGGGCGGAGGCGAGGCGATTTGGGAGTCGTCTTTTTTTTTGCGGGGCATTCTAGCAACGCACGGAGCACAGCACGGGGCGTTGGGAGCGTGCACGCACGCACGCACACAGCGTAATTTTGGGAGGATAGGGGAGGGGACAACACAGACACACACACACACAATGCGCAACACACACACACACACACACAGCGCACACACACACACAACACACACACCACAACACACCACACACACAAGAGTAGTTCCTCTGATTTGATATTATTAGTTTCGTAAGAACTTTCATGTTATTTTAGTGTTCAGTAACTGATATTTAGCTAATTTTTTTTTTAGCAAGAATTATATAAATACTTTATTCTTTGTATACAGCATGGAGTGTGCTCTACAATGACAAAGGTTCGGCTTTTAGATGCTGTAGAGAAAGGATGTTCTGTGTGTGAGGAGCTGCAGTTGTGATGGGTCTGTAGGTTTTTGGAGGAAGTCCTGATGAAAATGGAGAGACGACATTGGATGCAATGATTATGGATGGGTAAAGCTAATCTTTAAATATTTTTATACATTTTTAGTAGTAATCATGTAGTTTTTGTGTATAATGATGACAATAATGTGTTGCAATTAAGAAGTAAAGCATTCTGAACTTCGTATGTTTAAGGTTTATATTTAGTGTCTGGTAATATTCATCTTTTTGTAAAAACCTTTGTTATCTTTTATGTGAAGTACTACATATAGCTAATCCTTTTCATACAGGACAACACACGATGTAGGAGCAGTTGCTGCCTTGCGGAGAGTTAAGAGTGCAATATCTGTTGCTCGAATGGTACTTGAACATACAACACATACATTGCTTGTGGGAGATCAGGCTACAGAGTTTGCTCTCCAGATGGGATTCAAGGAAGAAAATTTGACAACTGCTAATTCTGTTGAAATACATGAGCACTGGAAAGAAAAATCCTGCCAGCCTAATTATTGGAAGAATGTTCAGCCAGATCCCACAGCAAGTTGTGGACCCTATACCCCTATAGATGTATCAAAGAAAAGTAAAAAATGGGCAACTGCACAAGAGGGGAAAAATTTTAATACCAGGAACCACGACACTATTGGAATGATTGCCATAGATTCTCAAGGACACATTGCTGGTGGAACATCAACTAATGGGGCCACTCACAAGATTCCCGGTAGGGTTGGAGATTCCCCGATTCCAGGCAGCGGAGCTTATGTTGACAGACATGTGGGAGGTGCAGCAGCCACAGGGGATGGAGACGTAATGATGCGCTTCATGCCAGCTTTGGTAACAGTTGAAGGAATGAGGTCTGGTTTATCTCCTCATAAAGCTGCAGAACTAGCCCTATTTCAGATTGGTATGTATTACCCAGAATTCATGGGAGCAATTGTTGCCACGTCAATTACTGGCGAGGTTGGGGCAGCTTGTCATGGGTTTGATAAATTCCCGTATTCTGTTGCAAATCCAACACTGCAGGGAGTATCTGTGATGGAAGTTCTTTGCTTTGGTTAATGGTTAGTGACAGTCTTCATATTTGATGGACTGCAAGGATAAAGAAATTTTGTAGCATTTTTAATGCAATGAATGTTTTACCTGTATTCAAGGACTCTTCAGAGTGAATGTACTTATAGTGTTGTTTTCATATTTTTGTTGTCACTTTTTAGTAATCTGCATTAAAAAATGCTAATGTTTCTGTCATCACTGAAAAGATGGTCACAATATCTTTCTCATACAATTTTTTCCACATTCCTCATTTTTAAATGTACTTCTTTTATATTCTAATTTCCCTCTTTTGCCATTCTGTTCTGAATTAATTAATGAAAGTACAGAAATGACATATAGGATATTGATATATTTCATAATACATAAGGTGAATTATATGTCTTCATTCTAGAGATTTTATAATTTTACAACATATATCATAGTACATATCTTACACTTTTTAAGTATTGTATATTTTGCCTTTGGTTGTATGATCAGAGTTTTATCTCTCTGAGATATTTTTGTAATATTTTTGGGGATAGACTACGAGGTTTGAATTTCAGGGACTTCGGTCATTGAGCGTCAAAGGTTCTGGGCTGATTTGACATAAATAGAAATTGCTTCTGTCTGTAGTTATTAAAGATCAGTTCCTGTTGATCAAAATGTAAATACTTAGTTCCTATTGCCAACTAGGTAAGCTATACAGACAATGAGGTTTGAATTTCAGGGATTTTGGCCATTGAGCATCCCAGGTTCTGGGCTGATTTGATATAGAAATTGCTTCTGTTTGCAGTTGCTAAACCCAGTTACTGTTGGTCAAATGTAGATATCAATTTAGCTCATTTAGCTATTATTTTAAATGTCAGTATGTAATATAAAAAAACTGTGGTGGAAATATATTTGTTACAATCCTTTTCATAAAGTATTGAACCTTAGGCATGTAGTATAGTGTAGTCTGGAAGAAATGACTTAATAATGGTTCAACACTGTTACTATTTTAGACGACAAGAAGCAAGCAAAACTGAGAAAAGAAGTTATTATGAAATGACTAGGATTTAAGCCCCAAGATGACGCCCTCTCTAACAGCTTTTTGATTCCTTCCGTTGTTAAACTACATGTTGTGATTTTGTCCAGGAGTGCAATATTTTTACATGCATTGCAGTATTTTTTCAAGATGTGATAGTTATATTTAAAGAAACTTTTTTAACTGTACATCTGCTGGTGAATGATTGATGCCATAATGACAGGCTATTTTGAAGATTGTATTAGAGGCCGACATGAAAGATACTCTATTTTAATATAGTTTTACACAAAATTTTTTTTTATTCTTGTCTCAAAAGTCATTCTACATGAATTTGCATCGAGAGTGCACGTTCAGATGACCTTGGACTATACAATACTTGTGGGATGAATTTGTATGTATTTTGGTGAATGTGTATAAATATCCATATAATGCAGAATGTTAATTAATAAGGAATCTCTGGCATTTCCTTTACCTTTGTTTTATAATTCAGTGATAGCTTGCAGACCATCAATGTTGTTACCTTCGTTTCTACAGAATATTTCAAGTAAACGATAGAAATCCTTTTTGAACAGGTATGATGTTTACACCCATATATATATATAGATATATATGTATATATATGAATATATATATATATATATATGTATATATGTATATATGTATATATGTAAATATGTATATATGTATATATGTATATGTTATGTATATATGTATATGTATATATGTATATATGTATATATGTATATATGTATATATATATATATATAATATATATATATATAATATATATTATATATATATATATATATATATATATATATATATATACTATATATATGTGTGTGGTGGTGTGTGTGTGTGTGTGTGTGCGTATATATAATGTATAATATGCATATATATAAATATATGTATATATGCATATATATATACATATACATATACATCATATATATATATATATAATATATATATAATATAAATATATATATATATATATATATATATATATATATATATATATATTATAATATATATATACACCACACACGCGCACACCACACACACACACACAACACACACACACACACACACACACACGCACACACACACACACACACACACACACACACACAACACACACACACACCACACACCACACCGGGAACACACACAGTGCACACACACAACAACTACAGACATCAATAATCAATCAATGCAATGCAATCAATCATTACATAC